CAACCTCCACAAAGGAGAAGGATGGTGGTGGTATTAGCAAGAGTATGAATAAGAAAAAGCAACAATGGTGAAAAATCTCTCCCAAATTTCCCTTCAAAATCTAGTTGTCTCCTCTTTCTCGTTTTTGCCCTCGTATTTTTGTACAATACACACAATATGAGGCCATGGAGAATGCATATATAGTTAAACACATTAGGTCACTTAGATGAGCCATTTCACTCCTCTTCAATGGGCCAAGACAAAGTGGTCCAAATTAATTAAAGCTCCCAACTTACCGAGATAAATGGGCTACCAACAAACAGAGGCCAACGCTAAGTAAATTAGGACCATCCACAGGTGCTGTTGTTTCTTAATCAATCCAAGTCTATGGTGTCAATAAATTATCTGACATCTATTTTAAATCATCGTTCGAATTTATTAGGTATGAAAACCTAACAAATCTCTACGTTGATATCCAATCAACCTATAAGTAAACAAAACACAAAGTTTATATTTGCATAATCAAGCTAACCAAATAAAATTAGAGTTACTGACCTTACCTCGTGTTTTCGACCTAAAACATATACAATACCTGCTCCGTATACTCATTAGGGCTAAGGTAAAAAATACTCAAGTAGGAACAAGTAATCACATAATCAATCAAGAGCATATATAATATGCGATGAAGATATAACATAAGATAACATACAGATCTTATCAAACATGTACCACACTTATCCTACCCTATTCTGTGTTACTCACATTTCGAGAACACATATCTCCTCTCATCGTCAACCATGTTCACTAGACTAATCACGAGACTCATGCCTAACTTGTAAACCACAATAGATCTTAAATCTATGGAATAAACCTCTAATTCTATGCTATCTCTCTCAACTTAAGCTAGATAATGGGTCCATCACCTAATAAAAGTGATAGAAGTACCATTGTCACACTCCACTTGTATATGGTTCTTCACAAATAAAGGACTCTAGAAATTTAATCACATCATCAATCGTGATCTAAACGTCACTCTCCACATCCCCGTGATACCACCAATACACCCTCAAGCATCTATATTTTACATTGCCAAAAGACACACAATACACTTACTGCTAATGTATCCTAACCTAGTATGCGAAAAAAAAAAAGTGATTTTGCGACCACCACAAATGTCTCAATTTAAATTGACCTATGCACCATAATGTTACTCCAACGACAAAACTCAAGAAGTTCACAAAGTATTTATCCCACAAAGGTAATGGTGGAGGTGACACTCACAAAAATAATAAAAGAAAATTTTGGTTATTTCACTAAACTCACAAAGAGGAAAAAATAATTCATACATGGCTGCCTCACATAATATCACAAACTACAAAGGCTCACAGAGATGAAGGAGAAAAAATGGTCGCCCTTCTTTCTTTTCACTACCACACCTTAAACCACCCATAGATCAAAATGAGTATGCCATAGATCTTAATTTACTTTGCACGCAAACACATTACAAAAAGTAACAATATTACTCTCAAATTCATGCAAATGCACAAATCCAACATATCGAAATGTAACATATAATCATACAACAGAATTAAGCAAATCACACACACACAGAAATGATTATAAACAGATGCACATGCAATAATTAGATTCACCCTCAATAAATCCCATAGGGGTCATAGTTAGACCCACTGGCAACATTTACTTCACCACTCTCCTTTTCTTTTCTTCTATTATCCTTTCCATGACAATCTCTTTCAACAGTTCCAAATTTATCGTAGTTAAAACAACTCTTACTTTTCGTACATGCATTAGAGCTATAGATGCCATCAATACCAAATAATGATCACAAGCAAAGTACCGACATAATTCACACGGAATAGTCAAACAAACTTTCTTGAGGTCACATACAATTCTAACAATGTAGAAAAAATTTGGCAAAAAATTCACAAAGAATTTGAGGTAAATAATTAACAAATTATTCATAAGTTTAGTGACAGGCAATGGTTACTCTACATGATAACCCCAAACCTAATTTTACCCTCAACGATGACTTCTAATGCGAAAAGTAAATTACTACCATAAACAATACCTTTAATTACAATACTAAAAGGCAAAGAACATGATACCAAGCGGACTACATATGTGGGTCCTTAAACTAGAAGAGATGTAAATTCAGTACTTTAGGGCTTTCACTATTCATATTAAAGCTTCAGCAATCGCAACAGCACAAATTAGCACCCAACGCCCGAACATCAAGGAACAAAATCGTCCAAATTTCATCGTATCGCTCAAAACAGACAATGGACACCACCGCAGGGTTCGCCATCACACCAACAACATTCTATATGAAGAAACCATTGTTGGAGGATGCCCGATGTGTTGCAACCTAACTTAAACACCGATCAACCGACTTCGTCTCAACCTACTGAGCACGAATATGGTCTCAATTTCCTCAACCAACTTTTGGTTTCGCCAAAATGCCTTAAAAGATCTAGCTTGTTTAACGAAAATTCCTAATTTTTTCATCCAATTTTATGTCGGGGCTACTTCCAGCCCCTTTCTACACCAAAAATCATGGATTTCTTAACTACACAAGCTCTGATATCATTTGTTGCACGAAAGCTTCGAAAAATTCTGATTTCTGGCTAAGAAAAATCATCAAATGAACCCCACAACCACCTCAGCTTGACCCAATACCTCACCTCGATTTTGGTTGCCACAAGTCCTCTTGACCTCATAAAGGAGAAGGATGGTGAAAATTTTAGCAATAATAGAAAGAAGAGGAAGCAACAATGGTGCAAATCTCTCCCAATTCCCCTAATCATGCTGTCCCATTTCATTCATTCTTTCCTTCTCATTGTTGCACAATACATACACACGAAGCTATAGAGAATGCATATATAGTTAAAAGCATTAGATCACTTATATGGGCCATTTCATTCCTCTATAATAGGCTAAGACCAAGTGGGCCAAATTAACTAAAGCCCTCAAACTTACCAAGATAAATGGACCACCAACAAACAAAGGCCAATACTAAGTAATTTTGGACTATCTACAAGCGTTAGTTGTTTATGGATCGAGCTAAGTCTACAGTATCGAAAAATTATCCGACATCTATTTTAAATCATCGTCTGAATTTATTATGTACCAAAATCCAACATCTTTGTCTACTTTGTTAGTAATTTTTTAAGCTAGATTAATTATTTATGAATCTATTAACCTTCGTATAAACAAAAGGTGCATTTCTTATTTGATTGATCAAGAGGATTGACTCTTTGGCTCATTTTCATTTTGTTGCATTTGAACTTCAAATTACATATATGATGTAGCTCCATTTGTTTGTTAAATCACTTTAGGTTGCTTGATTTATTAATAACAGAGGTATAAAAAAATAATAAAACAAAAAGAAAAATCTATCCATCCAAGAAATGGAGAGTACAATGAAAAGCTTAAAAGCCGTGTCAATGTGGACATAGACGAGTTAATTTAATCAATGATCACTGAACTTTGCTATATGATACCATCTACTCACCAAAATTTAGAAAGTTACTCGCTTCGACTGAATTTTGCTATAGTTTACTCGTTGCTTATCGAATTTTAAAATGTTACTCGTTATTCTACAAATTTGAATGAATTTACTCATTCATCACCAATATCATTCTCATGCATACACATTGACAAAAATCAATGTGACGAATGAAAAATCTTATGTGACACTAGCAGAGTCAAAAAATAATAGTGTAGAGAAAAAAATCCCATGATGCATAACATAAATTGTCTATGCGATCGCATTATGTTGTCCACCACAATCACATGGATAATTTTTGTTACTGAAATTTATTATTATTTTTATTTACAAAAAAAGGGTAGAACAATGGTGAATTTTACTAACAGAAATTGTCCATGCGATCATAGTGGACAACACCATGCAATTACATAGAAAATTTATATCGTGCACCATGTAGATATTTTTGTTCATGCTTTTATTTTTTAATTCCGTCAATGCCATGTAAGATTTTTCATTCATCACGTTGATTTTTGTCCACATTTACCGATGAAAATGACATGAGTGATAAAAAGACAACTTTGTTGAAAATTGGACTAGCAATAAATAATTTTTTAATTTTGATGAGCAAGTAATAACATATAAAAAAGTTCAATAAGTAACGATTTATTTCAATAAGTAGTAACATATAGGAAAATTCAATTAGCAACGAGTAACTTCTTAAATTTCAGTGAACAAGTAATAACATGTAGTAAAGTTTTGTAACCATTGATTAAATTATCTTGTCATAATTCAAGACTTTCCACGTTTTTATTTCTCCAGTTGTGCTATTTTCCATAACTAAAGTTTGGGTTAAGTGCTTGTTTGAATAAAATTATAAGTTTATTATAATTTACAATCAATGTTAAAAAATTAATTTTAATTATGCACCCACTCATAAATACTATATATTATTATTTAGTATTTACACATTTTGTGAAACATATTGTTCCTTTCGTTGTAGTTTATCCAAACAAGCATGATAATTTGGTCAATTTTAATGATTTTTGGGAGTCGAGTGTGCATTTACAAGCAGAAGGCTAGTTGGATTAGGGGTTTATGAATTAAGTACCTATTTGATGGTCTACAAAATATTTTATTATAAGAACGTGTAATTAAAAATAAGGATTAAATATAAAGGCTTTTTAAATAAAGGGAGTCAACATGGGGCTAAATTCCATTCTTGTGAAATTTTTAGAGGGAAATTAAGCTTTCGTTTGGTTTTCGTTATTTGAAGTTTTAATGGTTGAAATAATATTTTTTTGAAGAATATGAGATTACAAAAGAATAAAAAATTTGAGATTACATATAATATTTTTTTTATTGAAAAATGTGTGATTGATAAAAAAAAAAAAAAAGAAATTATAATTTTAATGGAGGTAATGATACTAAGGAATATGCTCAAGATCCGAAACAATTTCCTTGGCCCAAGGTCCGCCCACGGTGTCCTGCAAACCACGGTTCCCGTCAAAATTGTCGAATGGAAAGTCGAAACCGCACCCAGGTTACGCACCCAGCGTTTTTTAGCTAAACCGCCTCATCCTACGCCCTTTATACAATTCTCGAACCTTCCACTTCTACACGGTCTCATTGCATTTACACCTTTTTACTCGCACCTCGATTTGCACACTGTAGGCTCGATCAATTATTATCCTTTTCCTGAAATCCTGTGTTTGAAAGTATATATGCACTTCTTTGTACATGTAATTGATACTTGGATTTGATTTTGTGTTTGTTTAGTTTTTTGGGTATAAATGGCGACAAAGAAAAGCGTCGGATCACTGAAGGAAGCAGATCTGAAGGGGAAGAGGGTGTTCGTTAGAGTGGATCTGAACGTTCCATTGGACGATAACTTCAACATCACCGACGACAATAGAATTAGAGCCGCCGTCCCCACCATCAAATACTTGATCGACTGTGGAGCTAAAGTCATCCTTGCCTCTCACCTTGTATGTATAATTTCTTTTGCAATCTGAAGAATAGATAGCTTTTGTTAATCTGTAGTTCTGAAGTTAGATTGGGAATATTTGTTAGTTGAATATGGCTATTTATAATTTATATTGTTTCGATCTGCTTGATAAAATTGGAGATATGTAATTTACTGCCAGGTACTTTGATCCATGATATTTGATCTTATCTTATCTTTGGTTTGGATTTGTTTTTTTTGTTTTTTTTCTTCTCTCACATTTCAATTTCCCTCCCATTGATTTTGGATCTTTGTTATGTTTCGTGGTAATTATTGGTTAATGTTTTATTCGTGCTGCGTACCACTGATTGAGTTGATATTTAAAGTTTGGAAGGTTTCTAAGGTCTGATTAATGTGATGTGCTTTATTCTTGTGGATGAAAGATTGTCCTCTTATACAAATTAACCATGCTAATTATTTCCTTGTCCTGCAATTTATCCCATAAGAATCCAGTTGTCTCACATCAAGATCCCAATGTCATTATGCCAAATTTAATGAGAAACGATGCAGGAATAAAGATTATGCTGCAGTAGGTTATGCTGAAATTGGAATCACTGATGATTATTTAGCTAGATGATTTCTATTTGTTCATGGCACAGCATACTTGTTATTCTAATTTTTGTCAATTGCTATCTGTTCGTTTCGTGCTTTTAGTTACTCTATTAGCATCTTCTTTCATTTTACTGTCATATTCTGTATTTTTATTAACTAATTATGTTATTATATTGATTAAACTGTGGGTTTTAGGGGCGTCCGAAAGGTGTTATGCCAAAGTTCAGTTTAAAGCCTCTTGTGCCCAGGCTCTCTGAACTACTTGAAGTTGAGGTTGGTTTTCTCCTAAATTACATATATTGTAGAGGTTTTTATGGGCTAAAGCAATCAATTTGTTGTTAGAAAGATGGTTCTTTGCTCATCTTGTCTCTGCGCTATCAATAGGTCAAGATGGCTAACGACTGCATTGGTGAAGAAGTTGTGAAGTTGGTGAGTGAACTCCCAGGAGGAGGCGTTCTTCTCTTGGAGAATGTTAGATTTTACAAAGAAGAGGAAAAGAATGATCCTGAGTTTGCAAAGAAGCTTGCATCCCTTGCAGACTTGTATGTTAATGATGCCTTTGGAACCGCACATAGAGCCCATGCTTCGACAGAGGGAGTGACCAAGTACTTGAAACCTGCTGTTGCTGGATTCCTTATGCAGAAGGTATTCAGATACTTTAGACTTGATTTACTTTTATATTTTCTGTAGTTTGATAGAAAAATTAGTCTATATACATTATTAAGGCTCCATTAATATATCTGGTACTGCAGATTTGAACTGTGGCATTGAATATTTATGAGAAATTTTCTAAATTGAATTTGTAATTAATGGAGTTCCGAGTTTTTTTAAGACTGTATACCTGCTGTTGACTTGCATCTGTATGATTGAAAAAGCATTATTTATATATTCACTCTGAACTTTTCTTCTGTCTCAGGAGCTTGACTATTTAGTTGGGGCTGTTTCCAACCCCAAGAAGCCATTTGCTGCAATTGTTGGTGGGTCAAAGGTATCCACTAAAATTGGAGTTATCGAGTCACTGTTAGAGAAGGTAGACCTTCTCTTGCTGGGTGGAGGAATGATCTTTACTTTCTACAAAGCCCAAGGACATGCTGTGGGGTCTTCACTTGTTGAGGAGGACAAGCTTGCTCTTGCAACTTCACTCATGGAGAAAGCGAAGGCTAAAGGGGTATCTTTATTGTTACCTTCTGATGTGGTTGCTGCCGACAAGTTTGCTGCTGATGCTAATTGCAAGGTAGGCAGCTTTGCTTAACTATTGTTTTAATCTTGAGCTGGACTTGATCTATTTCGACTTTGATTTCTCCTTTGTTCTATTTTTACTTGTAGAGAACATGACTGCAGCACCTAATATTCTAATTCATGTTACTAGAATACATGACGATTGAGATCTTCCTTAATATTTTTGCAGGTTGTTCCTGCATCTGGAATCCCTGATGGCTGGATGGGATTAGATATTGGACCCGATTCTATCAAATCATTTAGTGAAGCTTTAGATACTACCAAAACCATCATTTGGAATGGACCAATGGGTGTTTTTGAGTTTGACAAGTTTGCGGCAGGAACTGAGGTACTTGATGAAAGATTGTATAATTCAAGACATTTCACTTATTTAGCTTCATAAACAAATTGCTCGGATATTTAAAAATGAGCATTCATGTTCATTATTTCAGGCCATAGCCAAGAAATTGGCAGAACTCAGTGGCAAGGGAGTGACGACCATCATTGGAGGAGGTGACTCTGTTGCTGCTGTTGAAAAGGTTGGGTTGGCGGACAAGATGAGCCACATTTCAACCGGAGGTGGTGCCAGCTTGGAGCTTCTTGAGGGGAAACAGCTGCCTGGAGTTCTTGCACTCGATGATGCTTAGGCAGATTCTTCTTGCTGTTTTTCCACTTCGTCCATCCTTCAAGTTGTCATGTCTGGGTTTTTACCAGATTGGATGCCGATATATGTATGAACTGTCCTTGAAGAGCAGTAGATCGGATTTAAATAATTAGAACCATGCCTATCACAGTGTCACACTGTGTCAAATGGCAAATAACAAATTTTCTGGGTTTTGAAGAATGAATTGATGGGGGTTTTCTCCTTGTCTAGTTGTACGTATGTATTGGGATGAATGAACAACGAGCAATATTATTTGTGAGGTTTTCAATTAGTAAGTGTCATAAAAGGGAAAATGAAATATCTCCAGAGCAAGTTATGTATATATAAAAAGAAACTATTTTCAAGTATGGTATCCAGTATGACTCCGAGGACATATACTGTAGGAGTAGCGCACATTAAGGTAGAAAAATAAACCTTTTTCAGTGAACCGTGTCAATCTGAGATTCTGAATATTTAAGGTACTCTTGAATGTTTCTTGGCAACGTTATACATGAATGTCGGGAACGCATCTGTCGTACTCTCCATAAACTGATAAGAAGCAGCTGGTTGATGTTATATTGTTCTTGCTTTTAAGTTTCTGTATTGAATTTTGGCTCTAGAAGAAGTTCGTCTTTGCCTGCATTTCTCATTGGTGATTCTTCAAGTTGATGAAAGAAGTGTACTTAATAATTCTTGAACGAAAAATCATAGTTTGCCTACGGACTCCGCTTGGATTACAACTGCAATTTATTTATTTTCTCTATAAATTTTTCATCAAAAAATTTAAAAAACCTATCCTTAGGATAGCAAGAGTTGAAAAGAACCCTAACAAATTAGTTGTAGGGGTTAAATTGTACTTTTTCCATAGTCGACCATAGGGGTTAAATCTGTCAATGGTCACTCAACTTTATATTGAGTGTCACAGTGGCCACCCAAATTGATTTTGTTTCACCAATGAGCACTTCATTTGATTTTATTTTACCGTGACCATCTAGTTTCATTAACGTTTCATTGTGATAATATGTATGTCAAGCTATTATTTTTACCTTAAGAATTGAATATTGGGTGTGGGTGCCTGTAAGAATTTGTTGCATTTATGATACAAGAGAAAACTGTTAAGAGAGAACCTGAATCTAACCTTCGTTTATCACAGTATATTTGTCGTGTGCAAATATATATTAGATTATATAAACTAGAGTTGCTACTAAACTAATTGGAAAAGAGAAGAAAAGATTACTAGAAATTTGATATTTAATTTAACAAGTATGAGTTTGAATTACGAGAGAAATCAAAACCCAAATTTCGGCAGCTAGAAACTACCTTGTATATTGTGCAAATCACTTGTAGACCAACATTATTCCAGTTTGTCTCTAAGTATGAGCAGCGATCAGTTTAGGGTTACGTATTGTTTACTCTGAACAATCATCATGTATGAAATTTCAGTTTCTCAGACCCTTTTCTGTGGTTATTTCTCAATCTCTGGAAACATAATTTAATGCGAGATATTCAATGAAGAAGGATCTTTTTTTACTGTGGCAATGCGGAGAGCTCGTAGAGCGCCATTTGTCATACTAAAATGGAGGAAATTGTTCCCAGTGCCGCTGCTCTGAGGTAATAGGTATTGTTGCAATATGAAACTGTTGCGGAATAGATCTTCAATCGATGAATTTTGGGTTCAGATTAAACTTATCAATCAATATATCCACCAACCAATCAAATTTCAACTCACAACTCAATCACTTATGGTTGCATTCCTCCTTTCTCACCCACAAAGGGACAACAATATGGTGGTGTTTTACAAGCCTTAGAGACAAAAAAAATAAAAAATAAAATAAAAAGGCAAGAACTTGAATAAGATCACAAGGAGGCAGCCGGTTCTCTCTTCTCAAACAAAGGCAAAAACACACGGCTTCCATACAAGAAGATTGATATAAATAACTTTAGGTATATTATCAATTGGGCTAAGACACAAAAGGTTGGGCCAATACATAAAGTAATGGGCCGAGACACAAGGAAGCCATCCTATAAGTGAATTTGGGCCAAAGCAATATTAAAACCAATTAAGTTGTTACTAGTGGCCCACGTTGTTTTCGGGTCGAGTATATAACTTGATTAGTTGATAAATATTTCACTTGTCGATTGAGACCTATGAAATATAATCCAAAACTATTTAACGTCATTGCTCGGGATTTATTGGTATCAAAATTCAACAGAAACTTTTGTTGGAGACCTTAGTATTTAACGTATAGGACACCTTTCGGTGTTATGTTAATCATATTTTGCCTTCATCTCTTTCTCCGTTGTTTTCAGGTTATTTGTGTTGACCCCATAATATGTTGCCAAAGGATACTGGATCCACGCACACAGGTAAGCCTGGTCCAACACGCTAATACACGTGGACGGTCTAGAAATAATAGCAAAAGGGGGGGTGGGAGCGACTCAAAGGCGCGGGACTAGAACGTTCGAAACTCGACGAGATGTTTGCATAACGATTGTATAATAATTACCAATCGATATTTGTAGAATGCGAGTATAAATTAATGTATGTAACAAGAGAGTAAAATGTAAAGAATGTTGTATTTGTTCTTGTGTTGAATCTTGCATTACCCTTATGAGAGATGCATGAGAGAGTATTTATAGTATTACAACTTAGATCGTGGCCCTTGGTTGGGAGTACACGTGGCCTCATCATGTAAGTTTACATGTCAAATTATAGGTATCACATTTGACTTCCTAACCTACTACACATTTATTAATTGGCGGCTTTGCCACTACATTGACAAGACAAGACAAGACAAGACACTTGTACTCTATGATGGGCGTCCCATCAATCAATCAGGAAGGATCCTTGTGTAAGATCGGATCTTTGGGGAGGAGTGCTGCTTAGAGCCTTAGGACCTCAGAGTGGTGGGTCTCAGAGTGAAGGGCCTCGGCTAGAACACCACTTCGGCATATTTACTTACACCACGTCATGGACATTGTAATAGTATGCTGGTCTATTCCTGTTGGCCCGAGGCCTCTGATAAGATGCCACGTGGTTCGGTAGAAGTGGGCCATGGCCACAGTGGGTCGGGCAAGTACAAATGTGTCAATACATAACAATAGTCCCCCAAGTCCAAGTATGGTCATTTATATAATGCGTGGACTTTTATTGTGGTGAAGCGCACGGGGGTGAAAATTGAGAAATTTTTGAAGTTGAAAGAATTTTTTGTACCTTAACTAATAGTCCCCCAAGTCCAAGTAAAGATATTTATATCATGGTTGGAATTAGAAGTGGTGGCGTTGCTGTTATTGAAAAAGGTAACGAAGGAGCCGAGGCGATGGATGATTGAACATGCCGAGCCTTGTGAGGATATGGCTGAACTCGAAGAAGCAGAAGAAGTCAAGGCGGTGAGTGGATCGAACCTGTCGAGGCTTGTGAGGATGTGGCTGAACAACGAAGAAGTAGAAGAAGTCGAGGCGGTGAGTGGATTGAACTTGCTGAGGCTTGTGAGGATGTGGCTGAGCTGTGAAGAAGCAAAAGAAGAACATGCCGAGGCTTATGAAGATGTGGCTGAACTACGAAGAAGCAGAAGAAGTTGAGGCGGTGAGTAAATCGAACCTGCCGAGGCTTGTGAGGATGTCGCTAAACTGCGAATAAGCAGAAGAAGCCGAGGCGATGGGTGATCGAATATGTCGAGATTTGTGAAGATGTGGCTAAACTGCGAAGAAGTAGAAGCAGTGAGGCTGTGAGTGGATCAAACCAGTCAATGCTTGTGAGGATGTGACTGAATTGTAAAGAAGCAGAAGAAGCCGAGGCGGTGAGTGGAACGAACCTGCCAAGGCTTGTGAGGATGTGGCTGAACTGCGAAGAAGCAAAAGAAGCCGAGACGGTGAGTGGATCGAACCTGCCGAGGCTTGTGAGGATGTGGCTGAACTGCGAAGAAGCAAAAGAAGCCGAGACGGTGAGTGGATCGAACCTGCCGAGGAATTGCGAAGAAGCGGAAGAAGTCGAGGCGGTGAGTGGATCGAACCTGCCCAGGCTTGTGAGGATGTGGTTGAATTGTGAAGAAGCAAAAGAAGTTGAGGCGGTGAGTGGATCGAACCTGCTGAGGCTTGTGAGGATGTTATGATTGTCTTCGATGCTTGTGCCAATGATTTGATGTTTTGCGCATGTTACCATGAAAAGGCAACCAAACCGTTTCAAGTTCCAAGGCATGTACGGCTGCTGCATTAAATGTGCAATGATGGTTACAGCTAGGACTTCTAGAAGAAGACGTGCTTGGAGAGGAGTGTGAGAAGCACGTTTAAATCTGATGCGTAGATTTCAAAAACGATTTGAATTTGAAGGGCTGAGATTTATGAGGCCATAATCCAAGGGCTGGGATTCGTCCTAGCTTCCTATAAAAGGGCAAAGACTCCCATTTGGAACCCTTCTTCGTCCTTTGATCTATGCAATTTTCCTTTGACATTTAGAGTTTTTCGACGTTCAAATATGCTCCGATTTCCTTTTCCAGCTTCCCTTTCTTTCTTTAGTCATCCAGCGTAGGTATTTCTTGCGAGAATCATTTATTTTGCAATTTTTGTCGATTTTCCAAACTTTTTCGATATGGAGTCCACTTCGGGTAGAGAATTGGTGACCATAGCTAGGTTGGGTGAGGGGGCTGTTCTGAGTGGTGATTCTAAGGTGGAGTATTATGCCATGGCTAAGGAGCCTATAGATTATGAGGAGAAATGGGGGGCGGCTAGGATAGCGTTGAACACGACCTTGAAGAAATTGGAGGGAATTAGGGAGAAATATTGTGTCCCTCATTACGTGGAGATGTTAGTTCCTAAGGCCCACAAATGGGCTTGTTTTTTGAGGCCTGGGTGTGTGGCTGTAAGTGAATACCTGTTCAAAGCAGGCATGCGTCTTCCTCTACACCCCTTTTTTAGGGTTGTGCTTAGAAATTTCATGTTATCACCGACCCAGGTTCTGCTAAATGGGTGGAGCCAGCTAGTGGGGTCGTACTTCTTGTGAAAAGAAGTGTCATTAGGGGAGGATATACCTTTGCACGTCTTTCTAACCCTTTTTCAGCCTCGCATCTTAGGTAAAGACGAGTCGAAGGGGTGGTATTACATCACACCCCGGGGAGCTCACGTACCCTTTGTGGTGAGGCTGCCTTCTTCCATCAAGGAATGGAAGGAGTCGTGGTTCTGGATTTGGGAAAGTGGCAGGTGGTTGAGGGGGACAAGGTCGTGGCTTGCACAGTACCGTCCCAGTACCGCAAAGCTCGTGAGTGCCCAAGCTTGTGATGTTTACATTTTGCTAAGTTTCTCAATTTTTTGCTAACTGTTGCCACTTATTTTGTAGATTCTAGCACGAGGTTTGAGATCAGCAAGGGGGAGT